TTCCCACGCTGACCGAGTGCAATATATATATATATACGCCCATATGACTCTCTCTCCCTTTAACATAATCTATATATATAAAAATGCTCTGTTCGTGTCTACTTCCTTTATAGACTTGACAAGTTCTGAACCGTTTAAGCCCAAATTTTTACACAACATGCTTTGAGGTTCTAGCTCGGTTATTGTCTACTTTTGATGTTGATAGCTTATCTGCGTTTGCGAATATATCCGTTTTTTTCGCGTTTCCCAGTGCCCCTACTGCTGCGCCCTCTACAGGCAGCCAGCTGAATCGAAGCATTTCCTGTCAAACATCCCCAACATATTGACAGAAGAAATTGGAGATTACAATTTTATTTTTTGTTCAGGTTCAGTAAGAAACGAAGTCATGCCACCCAAGAAGTCGAGTTTGGGTCGTCGTACTCGCAATACAGAAGCAAAAAGACGTAAGATTACGAATATGACTGACGAAGAACGGGCCTCCATCCGAGAGACTGAGCGGCTGAGAGCAATGCAGATGCACAACGCGGAATCAGCAAATCAGAAAGACGAGCAGATAGGCTTGAGAGAAAACGATTGAGAGTTAGGCAGTCGCGTTCTGGAGCAATCGATTTGATTAACTCTCAAAATAATAAACGCGACAGGGCAAGGGTAGCTGAAGCTTGGATGCTCCAGGAGGAACGGGGAAAACATTCTCATTACATTGATTCTGGCTACGGTTCGAGCTAACAAGGACATAGCTTTAGCTCTTGCTTCATCTGGAATCGCTGCGACATTGTTACCTGGTGGGAGGACTGCTCATTCAGCGCTGAAGTTGCCGTTGAACATGCAAATCATCGAGACTCCTACGTGCAACATTTCCAGAGCATCTGGCATGGGAAAAGTATTGCAAAGATGTAAACTCATTGTTTGGGATGAATGCACGATGGCACACAAAAAATCGCTGGAGGCTCTCGATCGATAATTGCGGGATTTGCGTGGAGCAGTCCAACCATTTGGGAATGCGTTAATATTGCTCGCAGGGGATTTCAGGCAAATGTTGCCTGTGATTTCCCGTTCGACACCAGCTGACGAGATAAATGCTTGCCTAAAATATTCTATATTGTGGCAACATGTACATTACAGTTGAAGACGAATATGCGTGTCAAGTTACAGAACGATGACTCAGCCGACGTATTCTCACGAAAGCTACTGGACATTAGGAACGGAAAGCTGCCAGTCAATGAGACGTCGAGAAAAATAGTATTGCCCGAGAATTTCTGTAATTTAGTTACATCGAAGGAAGGACTTATCCAAAAAGTGTTCCCCGACATCTGAATAAATTATTGGAATCACGATTGGCTCAGTGGACGTGCGATTCTCGTTAAGTATTACAGAATTAAATGAATTTGAAAATTATTCTTTTTTGTTTTACTTATTTCTTATGCGTTCAACCACAATATGCCACAGAGAAACGTGGCAGAGTACAGCTAGTATATAATATATATATTCAGCTGCGCTTTCGCCGGTGCAAACGGCAGTGCCATTATTATGTACTTAGGCTAAGTTCACCAAACTATTTTGAATAAAGAATATTCTGCAACTTACTACTTATGAGCACAGACGGGCTAACCAATTTTTCTAATAAATATATCTATACATGGGGAGTGTGACCTATTACTAGATTTTAGCTAGTACGTCCGCCCGCTTTGGAGCGTTCTTACAGAGACTGCGACGTTTCCTTCCTTTGCAAGTTCGTCTGCGGTTTGGTCTCCATCTATGCCCTGGTGACTGGGAATCCAATAGATCCGCACTGGCGTTGTCATGCCTAGGATATCTAGTGCGTCCTTGCTTGCCAGTACATTTTTGGAACTGACCGCTGGCGATTGCATGGATCTAACTGCCGCCTGACTGTCTACGAACAGGTTTACCGCCTCACATGAGCGGGCTATTTTCTGCGCAAGCTCTGCCGCCTTTCTGATGGTGACGACTTCCGCCTGAAATATGCGGAGCCCGCTCCAATTCCTCCTTCCATCTTGGAGCAGTCAGTGTATATGTTGAGGTATCGAACATGCTCCTGAACCGATTTCCAGTCTTCAGGTCCCATGAATGTTGATGTTTTCACATCCGGGCAAGTTCTAGGAGTCATGTAGTGACACTTCTTATGGTTCGACCATTGAGCTGTGCCCGTATCCTTTTGTCCACATGTTTCCTAGCGCTACTAGGCGTTTCCTTTCCCGAGGTTAGTTGCTTGTGGATGTTCAGGGGATCAATTCCAAGTATCGTCCCTAGAGCTTTTTTGGGGGTTGGCCTCAGCGCCCCAGGTATGCAGAGCAGTGCCTGCCGCTGGGTTCTCTTCATAAGCTTTTTGTACGTCCTCTTTTCCATGGCTTGCCACCACACTAAGACCCCGTATAGCATAGTCGACGCACCACCGATATGTAGACCCAGTGCATCAGAGCGGGTGAGGCCCCATGTGCTGCTGAGCATCTTCTTGGATGCATACAGCGCAATGGTGGCCTTTTTCACCTTGTCTAGTACATTGGGTTTCCATGCCAGCTTGCTTCCAGTACAGTGCCACGGTATTTGACTTGTGTTTTCGGGGTAAGCTTGGTTGTATTTTTTTTGGGGGGATCCATGGCGGTACCTTGTATCTCTTAGTGAAGAGAATGAGGTTCGTCTTATCCGCATTGCTACTGAGTCCTACCGTGACAATTATGCTTATGTGGTCAGCATAGGCTGTTATCTTCGGGGCCTTCCTCTCGAACCTTCTGATGATGTCGTCGGCCACTAGATTTCATAGGAGGGGCGATAGGATTCCGCCTTGCGGCGTGCCTCTGTGCGCTCCTTTCACCATGGAAGCGGTGCCCCAATACGATTGTACCCGTCAACAACTTAATTCATTTCCTATCCAAAAGTTGATGGCGGGGTGCGTGTTGGTCGCTCCTAGCGCATCTATTATTGCGTCTGTGCTTACATTGTTGAATTCTCCGGATATGTCTACAAAGACTCTGAACGCATACTCCGTGTTGTGCAGGGCTCTCTCAATGGTTTCCGTCTCCACTGATTTCCCTTTTGTGTATTCATGCAGGTTGATTAACAGTAATCTGCCCACATTGTTTCTGATGTATAGGTCCAGTGGCAGTATAAATTGCGTATAGTTATGTAGTGATGACTTTTTTGGGATGAATGGGATTAGTTCCCTGTCCACCACCTCCAGCTTGGCCTCGTCCCGCTTCCATGTGGCCGATCGTTTGCGTCAGCCACTTTCTCGTCGGGTCATCCATACACTTTAGGATTTTGACCCCAATAAGCCGAGTCATCATCGAATGTTGGTATGGGCGCTACAGGGTCTTCCTCCATCCGTGTAATCAATGAATCAACGAGCCTCGGTCATCTTGCCATTCTCATCGATCCTACTACTACGGCACCCGTGCGGTCTTTGCGTCGTTTTAGTGGCAGGAGCGTTACAACTGACGCGACCTGCCCCCGTCAATTCAAAGATGTGACCGCTGGCGAGACGCAGAGAGGATTGCTCCCCTCCGTTCCCGCCGGTGTTTTTATGTCTGTCGCCAGGCGCCTGTGTGTTTCATTTCCTCCGGCGTTTAAGCGGCATAAATTAAATCGAAGCCTTAGATAGACACATCCGCCACTACATTACCATTGTACGGAGTAATACATTGCCCATTGCCCAGCCGGAGCCCTCACGTAGGGTTCAGCTGGAGGATTTTTGCCAGCCAGGTGGTAAGTTGAAATGTGTTAATTATGTGGATTGTGCCTTAAATTCATCAGAAAATGCTCTATTAAGACAACGCGTGATTACACGAAGATCATTGGTATCATACAATCGCTTGGCATTCCCTTATGATCCCACTAAGAACTACAGTGAAGTTGAAAATATAAATATTGGACCAATAACGACTATATGCCAATATTGCAATGCATTAAAATTCAAAAGAGAAAATGCTGGATCCATTAATTTTAAAATATAAAAAAAAAATGTTCTTCATCTTTTAATCACCAAACGAAATTTTATATAAAACGAAGCCATGTGGTGGCGAAACGGTGTTCGTCGGGCTTGCTGTGTGCCGATTATCATGCTCCGAAATATAAATCAGCCGAAACTCTGCAACGGTACGCGACTTGCAGTCAAGAAATTGATGAACAACGTAGTAGAAGCAACGATCATAACTGGTCCTTTCAAAGGTGAGGATGTCCTCATTCCTAGGATTCCTCTGATACACCGTTTCAGTTCAAGAGATTCCAGTTTCCCATTCGTTTGGCGTTCGAAATGACCTTTAATAAAGCTCAAGGTCAATCTCTGGAGTTGTGTGGTCTCGATTTGGATGCAGATTGTTTTTCACACGGATAATTATATGTTGCGTGTTCCCGTGTCGGAAAATCAGATAGTCTTTATATTTACGCGGAGAATGGAGAAACGAAGAATATTGCATACCCACAATTATTACAGAATTAAATGAATTTGAAAATTATTCTTTTTTGTTTGACTTATTTCTTATGCGTTCACCACAAAATGCCACAGAGAAACTTGTCAGGGTACAGCTAGTTATGAATATGAAGCAAGTTTTAAACGTATTTATTGTAAAATAAATTAATTAATTCTAAATGAATTGCTTAGGTCGAAACCATAGGGATGGTTGCAGCCGTTCCCACAGACTTTCCCAAGCAGTAGGCCACCAGGAGGCGAGCGAGTGGGCGTAACGAGCAGCAGCCTCCATCTCGCAGCAGCGCTTGCGATGTTAGTCTAGTCTAGTCCGAGTGTCTTACCCTCGTTCCGGTACGTCCGTCCCTTAACCCGTTTGATAGCACGTGAAATTAAAAATGGTTTATTATATGACGATAAGATAAACAGTACCTATGTGCTGTGGTCTACTCCTCTTATACCATTCAAGCCATACCCGGGACGCACTACGTGCTTCACAGCTAGCTACCGCCCTCCAACTCTCGTCCTTACGCTGTCTATCCTATCAAGAATGGCACTTTAATTTTAATAAAAGAGCAAATTCGTCAACATTACTTTTATTGTAAGTGTAATTTCAAAACACTTCGATAATTTTTAACTAGGAAAAATTATATAATATGCAAAATATACTACATTTTATATCAGCTTTCAAAATCATTCCGGAAAACTGTATATATTTCATTTATCATATCACTTGCAACAGTACTACGACCCAACTTTTGGAATGAAGCGTAGTTCAATCGTTTAATAAAATAGCTTGATGCGCATGCTGCAAGATATACAGGGTTAGGTTGATTTGACTGTAACGACCAGTACAAAAATGTAGCTAGTGATCCACTAAGTAAATCGCCTTGTCCACCACATCTTCTCCCGGAACCACCACTAGGCATAATGTAAATTTCATTGGTTTGGGAAATGTAAATTTTATCATTTAAGCCTTTTTCAAGAATTACTATTCCATCTCCGAGGAGTGATATTTTATGTCGTGTAACATTAATATCTTCTCCAAATAGTCTCCGGAATTCAATGGCATTTGGAGTCAATATGACATTACTATGCCCATAAATTAAATCGATATTATCATTCAGAATGAACAATCCGTCGGCATCGATAACAATTGGTTTTTTTGCACTGAGACACAATTTTAGTAAATTAGTTGCTGTCTCTATAATTTTCGGATCCCGACCTAATCCAGGTCCAAACACCTGAAGAAAAAGCAAATATAAATGTAGGGTCTTTTTTGATATTCAATACAAACACATTTTTTCATGTACCCTGCAGTACGAAATGTCATCAATAGGCAACTGTCATCAACGTGCAGACTGCTACTTCTACCGAGTCGACGATCTGCCCACGAAGGTAGTCTTGTCGGCAGTGTATAATTGTATCGTGGCTCGGCCGATGATGAATTGTTGATGAATAATTGATTAATTGTTGATGACAGCCTAGGACATGCCCATATTAAATTCATAACTACATAACATTAATCGATGAATCATCAACAACACCGCCTTAACTGTTGATGAATAACTGATGAATGGTACTGCAGGGTACGTACATACATATGTACTCACAATAACATGTAGTCGTTCCAACCATGGGAGGATTTTATCCACAGCATCTGGGCAATCTAGTACTGGATGAACTATAAGATCGGGGCTGTAAGTTTTAATGGCAGTTGACGCATTTGAATGACAGAATACATGCGCCAAATCAGCACCAACTTTTAGTGAAGATATAGCCGCGAAATAAGGCGCACCAGTATATTCTAAAGAACCTCCGATTACCCCAATGCATCCACATTGTCCTTTATATTTGTTACATGTAGATTTTGGAACTACAGTTTTGAACAATGATAATAACTTCGCAATGTTCACCGGAATACCTTTAGTTGCTGACATGTTTGAAGTTTATTTTTCAATATGGCGATGGTACTATATATCGATATAATTTGTTTGAGAAGCAGTTCGATATATCGATGTTTAATTATTGTTTATTATAATCCTAGTCAGAAGCATGGTAGAATTATACAAGGTAGTCTCGTCGGCAAAAGCACTCCCCTATTCATTACTCACAACAAGTGCGAGTGAGAGGAGTCTGCGAAGTAAGTGCGAGTGAAACGACAAAAGAGCTTTTAGTTTAACCCTTAGATAGTCCATGGGGGTTAAATTGTTCATATATAGTAAAAAGAGTTGAAGTGTTTTATAATTTAATATTTAATAGTTTTGAATTTGAAATTAATTAATTAATTAATTTTTGTTTATGTATACCTATTTTTTTTTTTAATTCTTAATTTTAAAATATATTCGAATCTTAAAGTAAAATTTTTTTATATCTAAATTAATGTTTATATTCATAGCACCTATTAATAGTTTCTGCTTAACGTTTTTTGTAGTACTAAAATAATCAAAAACTATATCTAAAAAAACAATGTCCAGCTCCTTAATTTCCTCCCACAATGTCCACTTGGTTAAACATTTTGGTGCTTTTATCAATTTTACTCCATGCACGTGCTTCCGACAGAAATTGCAGAACGACATCTCACACAAGGGTTAATAGTAAAAAAAAATCGTCCGCACACAACCTATTCCTTTGACAAACGAGAACGCACTGACAAAAAGCCGAACGGTTAGGCAGCCGACGAGACTACCTTGTATAATTGTATCATGCTCAAATGTATCCTACCACTACGAAAAACGAAGACGCACTGAACTAAAATCCGACTGCTTTGAATGCCGAAGTGACTAGCTTCGCGATTGTATCGTGGTCAGAAGTTTGCAACGCAGTGAAGGGTAAATTTCCGACTCTTTGAATTTATATAAGTAGAAACGAACCGGATCCGACGAATATATCATATATGCCATAGAAACGATTGAAAAACTTTTGAAAAAAATAATAACTTTTACAGTTTTTAAAACATATATTTTCATCAAATTTAACATATAGGAATTTTTTAATATATATAGTAAAATAAATTGAAAGTAGGCATTATTTCATGGTTTTTTAAAAAAAAAACATTATTATTCTTTATAAATATTTATTATATATATTGTATTAATTATTTACGATGTAATTTCAGTATGCAACAATATAAAAACTTCGGCGTGCCAAAGTTACCTGCCTTTCTTGTTTTCCTTCATGTAGACCAGCTAGATTCATAATTGGTTGTGTCTTTCCCACAGTCCATCATTTTCTGTACTTGAAGGACTCGGATTTCCACAGATCACCATCCGCTGCCAACTGAACATCAGTGGCTTATTCAATACAAACAAAGAGGATATTCCCTATACCATATATGTAGATGGGAAACTTCACTATCGCACAATCGGGGTATCGGATTTTTATACTTCGTTTTTATGCGTATGCTAAGCAAGGCTGGACTAATAATCAGTAACCGCAAGACTACAAGCGATGAATCTCTTGCCTAAGTCGACTTGTTAGGGGTCGATCTCTTGTTCTACTCTCATATAATTTTTTATTATTATTGCTATATTTCTTATATCACACTAATATGATAAAATAATGTTGATCTCTGTTATCTATCCATTAAATAATTAAATATGATAAAAAAATCTAAAATATGTATAATTTTAATTTAAATAAAGAACAGAGCAATGAATGAATGTATATTATCGATTTGTCCCAATCAGAACATCGAAAATGTCAAATGGTCCACAACCGATAGTTTCCCAGTCCTATAATACCACCAATGCACCATGGTCCAAAATATTTTTAAAAAGAATAAAAGAAAATTATGAAAACAAATTTTTTTTTACTCTGTGCGGCAACGCCTTCTCTTGCCTCTCATAAAAACAAAGTCGTAGTATTACAGAGCCTGACAAAATTAAAAAAAAAAACCTCAACCAAAAATCGAAACATATTTTTCAAAAGGCTTTCGATGAGATGAATTCGAATTCGGCCCCAAAAAATCGTAAACGTAAGCTTTTCTAGATATATCAATTTTAAAGTACAAAAACTGAGGTTATTGAGTACGGTTGAGGTCCTGTATTTTAATTTAAAATATCCTAAAACTTATATGTAATAAATGTACAAATATTAAGTTATATACTACCTTGTGTCTTAAACATAATTTTCTTCTTCGTTTAATACTAAGGATCATCCTGGCCTTCTTCAGAACTAGAATCGGAATCGTGTAGTTTGATTCCGATCAATTTTTTTTTTCGATTATGTTTTTGCTTTCGGTAGACCGCAACTCTACAAGATTTAATACTTCTTTGGAAAGACATTTTTCTGTTGTTTTTTTTTTTATATAATGTAAAAGTTGTTTAAATGGTTTCGTCAAAACTGGTTATAGATGAAGCTCTTCTTACTGAATTTATATCATTGCTGTTGCCACTGCCATTCGGTTTTGGCTTTGCTTATATAAAGACCCAATTCATTTAAAATTGTTTCCTGAATATATTTTTTGCGGACACTTATTTTAATTGAACATATTATCACCTTTTATAAGCCATTTTTATACCCTTGCAGGGTATTATAATTTCAGTCAGAAGTTTGCAACGCAGTGAAGGAGGCACCTCCAACTATATAAAGTATATATATTCTTGATCAGGATCAACAGCCGAGCCGATCTAGCCATGTCCGTCTGTCCGTTTCTACCCAAACTAGCCTCTCAGTTTTGCAGTTATCTGAACGAAACTTTGTAGTTAATCTACAAAGCTCCCCGGAGCTCCCACTCTCGCTTTTAGCGAAGTAAAGGACGCGGGAGCTCTACTCTATGTATAAGCCTAAGTTCAGTTACATGTATGTAGTCAAATAAAGCTGACGAATTGATTCCCCCAAGGCGTCAGTAAATTTATATTTTAAATTTAATTTAATTTTTAACTTCAACAACGTTTCTACCGCGCGTCGGGAGATTCTCTTCCATTTATTGCCAACGAGACAGAATAATCGAACGAACGGCTTTAAAGAAATCCGAATACAACGCGAGATATAATAACGAACATGTTATTGGTTTCTCTTTAGCCACTGCACTGCAATTCCCAGTGAATTTTTTCTTTCGGAACAAGTTCCAAGGTTTTAATTCCACCTTTCAGGATCCATATTAATTAAATTTAAAAATAAATAACTAATAATACGTAGGTACAAGTGGTGAGGCTCCATCCTAGAGCCTCCCATTAGAGCTGAGCTCCCTTTTATTTAGTCCACTCCCATTTTTGTCTACTTGTTGTCACAATCACGCTCAGTACCATCCTGAGTCTGTGGGGAAGCCTAAGATTGCTGGTACTTTCATCTTTCATCACCTTCCAGTGATTCCAGCTTGTAGGCACCGAAATGTCATAGTCTAATGTGGCCTAGTCCCATTTTTATTGCGTACGCCAAATGTCCTGTGGTGCCCGCCGTGAACTTGCTGATATATCTCTATGTCCGTAACTACCCTTCAGTACCAAAATTCCTTTCCTGTCCGTTTCCTGGGGTCATGTCCAAAAAACAAATACAAATCCATGGGTTTCGGTAAGAGAACTCCGAAACAAAGTAGGCAATTGCCTGGACAAGCCGATATCGTCGCATCTCCGACCTTGCCGCCAGTCAACGTAGATCTGGCATCTACGTCGCATGCTGCTGCCTCAAGCAAAGCCTTGCTGGCCGCAAACCAACTGAAAGATGCTCACTCTGCGATCGGCCCGGCGGTCACCATCGCATCTCCTCCCATTTCTAGCCTCAGACCACACCATTCAACTATCTCTGGAGTTGCCCCAAGGAGCCCGGCGCCTCCTGCTGGCTACTGTGCCGCCTCTGCTCGCGGAGCTTTCCGAGCTCTGATGCGCGCGCCTCCCTCGCTCTCGCGCTCCGACTCTCGGGTCTATGTTGCCGACCGTCGGAGATCTCCCGCGCTCGTTTTGGCAGAGCAAAGCGGCCGGGAGCTCGGTTTAGTTTAAGCTAGTTTTTAGTCTTATGTATGCAGCGAAATAAAGCTGACGAGTTGAATTGCCCACGACGCCCCGCCTTTACTCTTCGACTTCGCTTGCGACGTGGGAATTTTCACTGGGCTACATTTCCCAGGATCTTGCGGCAGGACGCCCCCTACACATTTTGGTCCTTAGAGCCGGATAATTACAGGATATTCTTCCGCCGTCTTACCAGCAGTTCCCGGCAACTGTCCGCCAAGATAAGTACGACTTCTTCCGTTTTTCGTTCTCGCTGCCGGTCTTCAACAGTGGGCCAAACGGTCGCACCGCTGCAAAATTTATTTTTTTTGTTCGTGTCAACTCCCCGTCCGAGTTTTTCCTGACACCACGGCGGTGAGAAATTCCACTTGCTATTCGCCTCCGAACTTCGCAATTTTCCATCCGTGTCCGTTTTGTGTGCGCCGCCATCTTCCTCGCCGCCTATGTGCAGCCACATACACACCCACGCATTCTAAACTTGTGCTAATATTTCCGTACAAAAAAATGTTCTCCGTGAACAGTGAAATTGTGTTACCAAAAGAAAGGCATAATTAATATCGGGCAGCCGGTGTGCGCTTGTTGCGGGAATTTACCCTGCTCGCCGAACAGTCCGCCGCTGTCACGATATTTTTTTCGCTAATTTTTTCTTGCTGTATCCATACACATTTTTTCTGTTCGCACAATTCATTACAGTCCACTTCTCGACGCTCCACTGTGCCAATACAAACCCTACATATTCTGCATACATCCATATATATTGTGCAAGCTTCGCGCTATTCTGCGCTGAGCATCGATCTTCCAGCTATTACATACATACATATACACACGCCCGCATAAGGGCATATCAAGTAATTATTTGTCATATTGGGCAAGCTTCGCGCTATTCTGCGCTGAGCATCGATCTCCCAGCTATTACATACATACATATACATATACACACGCCCGCATAAGGGCATATCAAGTAATTATTTGTCTTTTTTTCTCGTCTCCTCTTTGTGCCTAGAGCGTGTACAA